AAAATGGCAAAATTGCTTTATAAAATAGGATACACATAAATTAGCAATTTGGTTTAAAGGTAGATTTTAAAATGTAAAATAAAAACAGAAATTGCTGGAAACATTGAGCGAGTGTAGCAGCATCTGTGATGAGAAAGCAGAGTTAATGTTTCAGGTCACTGGAAGTTAACACTGGTTTTTTTAAAAAACAAAACTTAAAATGTTTATTTGACTTTCTGTAACAAGTATTGTGTTCTGTTTTGAATTTCATATTTTATATGTTTTATACAAAAGCAGGCTCACCTGTCTCTAGCTTAAAATGAGATGTCGTGTGTTCATTGGTCACTTGAGCCCTTATGCCCGAGAAAAGGACGTTGAGAGGTTTTTCAAGGGATATGGACGCATTCGAGAAATCAGCTTAAAAAATGGCTTTGGTTTTGTGGTAAGTGTAAAGATTTTTTTAAGCCATTGAAGCTCGATGACTCTTAGCTCTTCATTCTAAAATCTCTTTCTGCTAGAAAGGTAATTTTCAGCCAGTTATTCTGTTCCAGGAATTTGAAGATTACAGAGATGCTGATGATGCAGTCTATGAGTTGAATGGAAAAGAACTTTGCAATGAAAGGTAATCTTTCATGACATTCAGCTTTACAATAAATATGGGTCATGCCTCACCGCAAAAAGTTGGTAAACCTGTTTACATTTTCTCTCCACAGTATTGCATTCCATATTACTAATGATATCAATGACGATAAAGTGCATATAATCCTGAACCTCAAGGACTAGTGTGTATCCATTTGGTACATGAGTGGATGGATTCCCTACTTAATCTGTGCTATATCTGTTCAGTTGTTTCCATTCCTCAGACATCGTCCTGAGGTCACTAGTGTCACTGAAGTCAGTCTTCAGCCAATTCGGGTCAATCCCCTGATATCAAGGAGTGGCTGGAGATACTGCATATTACAAAGACTGTAGACCCTGACAACAGTGTCACAATTTTACTGAAGACTTGTGCTTCAGAAATAACCGAATTCTGAGCCAAGCAGTTCCAGTACAATTTCAAAACTAGCATCTACCTGGCAATTAGGAATATTGCCCAGATATATCCTGGCCACAAATTCTAGACAAATCCAACCTGGCCAATTACCATCCCCAGCAGTCCACTTTCAACCATCAGCAAACTGATGGAGAGGGTCACAGACAGTGCTATCAAGTGCCATTTGCTTGGAAATAACCTGCTCACTGATGGTCAATCTGAGTTCCATCAAGGCCACTTATCTTCTGACATTGTTACATGGACAAAAAAGCTGGACTCCAGAGTTGATGTGACTATTATTGACATAAGGCAGCATTTGACTGGGAATTGCATCAAGGATCTCTCGCAAAACTATGTAAAACTCTGATGGTTGGAATCATATCTAGCAGAAAGGGAGATGGTTATGGTTCTTGGAGGCCAGGCATTTCAGCTGCAGGACATCACAACAAGAATTCCTAAGGATAGTATCCTATGTCCAACCATCTTCAACTGCCTCATCAATGACTTTCTCTGCATCATAGGGTCAGAAGCAGGAAAGTTCACTGATTAATGCATGACATTCAGCATTTCTCACCATTCCTCTGAAACTGAAGCAGGCTGTGACCTTTTGCATCAAGACCTGAATAATTCCAGGTTTGGACTGTTAAGTGATGAGCAACATTTACTTCACGTAAGTGCTAGGTAATGATCATCTCTAAAAGACATGAATATAACCATCTTAATTTGACATGCAACAGCATTACCATCACCTAAAGTCAGCAATCTGGAGATTGCCATTGAACAAAAACAGATTTGGAAGAGCCATATAAAAGAGCAGGTCAGAGATTCGGAAATCCACGTCACATATCTTACTTTCTGTCTACAAATGCCTATGCACCATTTGGAATGCCAAATCATGAGTGTGATGAAATACTCTTCACTCACCTGGGTGAGTTTATCTTCAGCAACACTCAAGAAACTCAACACATTCCAGGAAAAAGAGCAGCCTGTTTGATTGGCACCCCGTCCATCACTTTGAACACTGAGTCCCTTAACAACCAACACTCAGTGGACAAAGAGCTGAACTCCAGAGGTGAGATGACCACTTCTAAATCAGGCAGCATTTGACTGAGTATGGCATCAAGGAGCCCTAGCAAAGCTGGCGTTAATTCTCTGCTGTTCAAAGTCATACCTCACACAAAGGAAGATTGTTAAGTGTGCCATCTACAAAGTGCACTTCTGCAACTCACCAAGGCTCCTTCAACAGCACCTTTCAAATTCATGACCTCTTCCACTTAGAAGGACAACAGATGCGTGGGAACACAACTACTTGGGAGTTCCCCTCTAAACCAGACATCATCCTGACTTGGAGATACATCTTCATTTCTGGACTGGTTCAAATCCTGGAGGTCCCTTCTTAACAATTAGTGCGTGTACCCCCAGTCCAAGGACTGTAGTAGTTCATGAAGGCAGCTCACCACCACGCTCTCCTGGGTAATCAGGGATGGCAATAAATCCTGGCCTAGTCAGTGTCACCCCATTCCATGAACAAATTAGAAAACAATGTTTAATGTACAAAATATATTGTATCTGATCAGACTCAATTTGTTTTGTATGAGTGCTCATTTTATATAGAAATTAATGTATTGTCCAAAGAAAAAATAACTACCTTTCATTGTTTTACCCATGAAAGGCTCTTTGAAATCCACCTATTTCCACCATAACTTTTTGAAAGAGGAAAAACATCTCTTTTTATAACGTCTCTTATCTATGTTTTTAAAACAATGGGTCAGATGCATCCTTTCCATCCATTTTAGCTAATGGTGAGCAGAAACGTGGCTTAACTTTGCAAAGTGGATGTGATTTTTGGAATTCATGACCAATATCTTCACTCTAGACTTTCCTCCTGCTTCATTAAAATTTTAATTGTGGCAAATGAAGTTTTATCAATTCAGTGATCTTGGCAGCTCTTTCCCTTTCTCCTTTAAGCACTTTCCTATTAGCTGTGACCTTTACATATCTGATCTTGTAGGTGTGGTGTTGACATCTAAGTAGTTATGTTTTTGAGTATGACTGTTATTGATTTAGGACTAGTCCAGTTATTTGCATTAAGGTATGTGTCAAATTGTGTTCACTCATATTTCTTGGGGTTGGGAAAGCTTGTTACATCTTATTTTGTTATAGACAGTAACATTGATTATAGTTTGAGCCCATTGACTCATGCTGTCCC